TTTGAGAGTTGATGAGAAGGTGGGCTGACAGGTAGACCAGATGGGGCAGATTGGGCTGAGAAACCCATGGGATCACAGTCTGGGGAGAGTGGCAGGCTTTTAATGGGGAGGGCCCACGTGGCATATTAGGGCCACCACTCAAAAGTGCATCCTCTAGGGGAGCACTTTCTTCCTGGATTTTAGTTAAAGGAAAATGGTCACTGTGTATTTTACAGAGACCCTTAAGTTTTGGGTCCTGGTATAAGACCATAAAGGCCTGGACATAAGGTACTTCTGTCCATTTTTCCTCTTGTTTGCAAAAGAGATCTGGCTGCAAGATAGTGTTCAATTTTAAGGTCCCATTTTCTGGCCAAATCTTCCTACTTTCCAATTTGTATTGAGGCCATGCCATGTTGCAGAGAAAAGTTAGTCTGCTTTTATTTAGACTGTCAGCCTTAAAAGCATCCCAATTATTTAAGATGCAGCCCAAAGGAGAATTGGCGGGCACAGATGTGGTATTATCCATTTGGAGAGCTGACATTATCTTGTTTAGTGATGAATGTGCCTCTCTGTTCTGGAAAAAGAAAAGAGAAATTGAAATAAACAAAGTCCTGTCCACAGGTATGACCTTATGTCATTTTAACTGGTGTCTTACAACAGAAAAGTTAGGCATTCTTGCCTCCAACTGACACCTGTGCTTCTAGTTATCCCTGGAGCCCCCGGATTCTTCAAGCCTGCCTGAGGCCCTATATGAGAAGAGACAGAAAGGACTCCAGAGGCCAGGTATGGGTCTGCATGCCTGTAATCCCAGTGGTTTAGGAGGCTGAGGCAAGAGGATCACCAGTTCAAAGCAACTTAGGGACACCCTGTCTCAAATTAAAAAATATATAAAATGGGCTGTGAATGTGGCTCAGTAGCTGAGCACCACTGGGATTAATCCTGTACCCAAAAAAAAAAAAAAGTCTACAGAGGTCTGAGGATGTCTTTAATGATGAAAAATGGTCCACTCTCCTTTTATTGCCCCCAATGAGCCCTATCAAGGATAAGGCTTAAAATGACCATAGGATCCTTGTGAGCAATTTCAAATCTCATAATCCACATCTCTCCCATAAGCCCAGAGCATATGAACAGCATTTACATTATGATCCCAAAACAAGTGATTCTGGGATCTGCACTTATACCAAAGGGGGAACAAAACATCTGGACTGCTGGTACAAAGGAGTTTGGCAGTTGGAAAGATTATGAAAAAGAATCAAAGAAGGCCTTAAAGGAGGGTCGCTCAAATCCCAGATCACACAGAGGATAATTAGTACTAGATGAACACAGCAAGCAGCAGTGATGGAGGCACTGTAAAAGGGCAGCAGAGCACCAAAGAGGAAATTTACCAGTGCCTGGAAACAATGCAGGAACCAAGATTTCCACAGCAAAGGGGAAAAAAAGAAGAAATATAAAGAGCAAGGCTGGAAGGGAGATTGCCTGCCATCCTCTGCACTATGTAAGGTTCTGCAGGGTTTGGATTACTGTGTTGATTTTGGAGGTTGCTTCTGAGGCTGTCATGCCAAGGCCAATTTCCTCTGCTGTGCCTCAGGTGTGACTTACTTGTTTTATGAAACGTGAGGGTGCTGAAGACACTGAGTGATCTGCCCTTATGAGTGTCTCCCCACGTGAACTTTGACATCTTTATGATCTGACACTCATGTTTCCCTAAAGAGGGAAGGAATCTGAAGACATTTCAGAGGCAGAAAAAGAACGAGAGAGAGAGAGAGAGAGAGAGAGAGAGAGAGAGAGAGAGAGAGAGAGAGACGTGCCAAAGAACTCCCATTCAGCTTGGCACGGTACTTCCTAAACCCAAAGATTGGTGTTAGGAGTCACCTGCGTGGTCCTTGCACCTGCTTCATATTACGAACTAGTTCTGAAAAGGAGAGCCACAATCAGGCAAGTTGAGATTATGTTCTGTGGCTCATGAAAATGGAACAGGATGAGAAAAAAATCAGTTCAACTTTTTTAAGACTGCAAGAAAAGCATGTCAGGTCACTCACTAGGGGTCGGTTGTTGTCATTTTACCTCCTATCTGGCTTACCAGAACAATGTTTACTGCACAGAGGTCCAAGAGATCTCCAGTAGTGAAGGAGACCTCTACCTTGATCTTGCAGATTACACAACAATGTCACAGAAAATAACTTAAGGATGCATTTGGTGGGTAACAAAACAAAAGATTTATTAAAAAGGGAAAGTACACACACACACACACACAGGAATGGGAGTACAGGAGATTGCAGAGAGCCTGAGGAAAGTCTTCCTGCTTATAAGGACAACATTACTATCATACTGAGCCATCATTACATATCTGTGGGTATAAGGGAATGTGGGAAATGCAAGTAGACTCATATCTCTTCCCATCTGGGTTTTACTATTACAATGGGAGATGCGGTTGGGGAAGAGGGTCTGGTCACATCTTGGTCAAAGTTCCTGATGTGCACGCTACAAGGAGTTGTGTGTTCCTCCGGCTGCATTGGAGCTATCCTGCCATGGTGTCTTAGCTGTTGTTTTATTGGCTAATCAGTAAGTGGTGGTGAGGGCTTAAGGTGACAGAATGCAGGTAGTTTTGCTCATGAGTTGCTTGTTCTATAACATGTCAGTGGTTTCAGAGGCATTCCTTTGTTGAGACTTAGTACTCTCTGTACCCCTCAATTTACCTACCTCACTTCCATCTGATTATAAAACATTTAATTTAATAAGCAAAATGATTTGAATTGTGTGTTTTAAAAGCTCACATCCAAACAATATACCGGTTATAAGTTCTTCTTATAAAAAAATAAAAATTATTGTGGTACATCTCTGCACATGTTATTTCTAGCACATGTTGAACACATTGGGGGGAAAATTTATTGATAAATTTTTGTTATTTAAAAGACCAAATCACTATGGAGTGGGAAGATGCTTCAGCAGAAATGGTAAAGTAGCTCAGAAAGACAGTACCAAGGATGTGACTAAATGGGTACAATTCTGGGAAGAGAGGAACAAACACTAGACTAACGTGAAGATTTATGTTAGGCCTGGTCTTCTCACTATTACAAAAAATGTGCAAAAAGGGAACTTGGGAACATCTCCAAACACTGATTACATCCAACTTTGTCAGTTGATAGTGACAAATTCAAAAGATTGCAGGGGATGAGGGTAGGGGGCTGAGCTCAACAAAAGCAGAGATGTGACAGTAAGGGAAAATGAGGCCAAAAAAATTTAGATGCAGACTCCATGCTTGCATTACAACTGATACAAGGATGCCTGGTGGCTGCTGGGAGGTATTTCCTGAAAATGATCACATATATTCCTATAAAAAAAATCAATCAAACCTTTGGCCCCGACAGGAAAGCTAGTAGAAGATATAGTCTATGCTTGTTTCAACTATGATACATTATCCAGTATAGTTTGTAATGTGCATGCTTCATCTAGGAGATAAGGCTGAGGTGCAGAAAGGACAAGATGAAGAAATCCAAATCAGAGTTTGGCAAACTATGGCCCACAGGCCAAATCCAGCTGGGCCTCGATTTCATAAATAAAATTTTATTGGAACCTAGCCATACTCATCACTTGCGTATTGTCTATAGCTGTTTCTGCCCTCCAACAACACAGCCCCTGTGCTGTAACAGAGACTGTCTATGCTGGGAGCCTAACATTTATTATATATCCTTTACAGAAAAAGTTTGCTGACCCTAGATCTAAATCAAAAATGACAAGACCACAAATGACTTAAATTTTGGAAATTAAAAAACAGAAAACTGGAACGGAGAAGAATAAACTTATGAGATATATTATTCTAAAAGATATCAAAGGCTAGCACTTTCAAGGCTAAGTTTATATCAATTCATGAATTACATCTAAGTTTCTAAGGAAGATAGACATGTGGGAGAAAGAAATACGCTTTACTTTTTGAGGTAGAAAAATAAGAAACAAACACTTTCAGAGCACCTATTATTTTACTCTTTATCCCCCGGATACTGTCAGAGATTAACTACGTAACTGGAAGAAGCATGTGTCTGACCTAGGATGTCCTTAGATCTTACAGCAACTGACTTCTGCCCAGTGCTCTTCTTCAAAGGAAGCAAAAGATGCACCTTCTTTGACAACTGCTGAATGTGACCCCAAATGAACACTGATGTACTTTCAATTTTCAGTCCTTTTCTAAAAATCAAAGAAAGCTCAACAAAAGCAGCTTTTTAAACTGCTAACCCCACCTCCAAATAGGACTTGATAGGAGAAAATTCCTGAGCACGCTGACTACCTTGAAGGCCAAGCAATGAATGCAGGGGGAAGGAAAGCTGTCTTGTGTCTGTGAGGTGTCTACTGCACATGCTCAAAACTTCAAGTCCTCTGCTGGCTGGAGAATGAGCTCATCCACAACAGTGCATGTGTTTATTCCCCTGCCTCAGAGCAACACTTACTCATCTGAGATCTGGCCTAGACTAAGGGATGCTACAGTTTAGGCATGGGTTATGATTGGCTTTTCTAGCCTATGAATCTAGGAAATAAACACAAGCTATAGAGGAGCTAGGGAGAGCTGTTTGAGGATGTTTGGAAAAGGAGGATTCTCAATAACAGATGGCAACTACAACTAATTTTGTTAATCATTTCAGATTCAGAATAGAAACATGGTCATCCTTATTCATCTTTGAGTTACAAAACTCATGCTCGATGTGCCTCTGGGCTATTTTTAATTAGATTTGGCAAAATGAGTTTTAGTTGTATGGTTCTGGGTCACTAATGAAAGTAATTAAATGGCTTAGCCTACTCAAGAAGGCTTCATTTTAATTATATATCTATAATATTTTTATAGAGGTGCCTTCTAAAATGAACTTGGTTTTCACTTTGGGTAAAATCTACAATAATTAAAAATACTCATGGAGAACCCAGAATAATATATATTCCATATTGCACCACTCCATGAGAGATGGATTTTGTATGCTTTAATATATAGAACAAATTAAACTAAAAAAAAAAAAAAAATGGTCCCAGTTCCTTACCTTTGATGGAGGGTTTGGCAATGGAGCTGAAGGTTCTGGAAGCCTAAAGAAGTTAAGAAAGATCACAGCCATGAGTTTTCATTGAAAGGCAAATAGAAACTGGGCCAACTTAAGACTTAAGAGAGTCCTGCTTTTCATATAGCTTTGCCACTATAGATCCTCCTGTTCAATCCCCTCAAAGTAAAGAATGGAATCTCTCTAAATTAATGCATCCTCATTTTGCTACTTAATCCTTCATATTAAAACTGTTTAAACAGAAAAACAGAAAAACACTAAACCCATTTGTTGAAACACAGTGGGTTTTTGTTGGCCTCCACAGATTAGAGTTTTGGCACTGGAGTGTTTTTTCTTCATAAATTATGATGCTACCATTTATTTAAAAGTGAATAGCATTATAACTGTTGACAAAAGCCACACAAACTTTTCTCCCATTAAAAAGAAGTTTAACTGGCATGCTCTGTCTTCCAAAGTCTTTAAATCAAACTTGAAATTTTAGGGAAAGAAAAAAAAAATAAACAAATAATGGAATACAAAACAAGCAGCTAAGAAATCCAAGGAAATGTTAAACAGAAGGATGGTTATCAATTTAAAACAAGCTTTCAATATGCTTTAACTACTATAGGGACCAATTTCCACTACTGTTTTTAAAGCAGGATCTGTGGAATTTGCTGAAAACAACAACTCTATCTATTATTATCTATTATGGATTTTTTTTTTAAAATAACCATATTATTCCCTTTCATGGATTAAAGAAGCAAAAGGATTTAATAAGGATTGGGAAAAGCTATTAAATCATCATAAACATAAGCTCTTAATAATGGCTAAAATCTTGAAAATAAGCACATACTTTTCAACAAAAGTATGGTCTATATATTATATTAAAGATCTTTAGGGGTTGTGGCTCAGTGGTAGAGCGCTCGCCTAGCATGTTCGAGGCCCTGGGTTCAATCCTCAGCACCACATAAAATAAAGGTATTGTGTCTAACCAACTACAACTAAAAAATAAATATTAAAAACTGTTCTTCCATCTCTGAAGGACAGAGATTATTTTCCACGTGACTTTCAATTTGAAGTACTCAGCATTATAAAGGTAGTTGGTGAACATTTAATGGTAGTGAAATGGTATAAAACTTTTAAATACAATTTTCAAAAATATTCTCCATGCCATCTACCCTTTCCTTTCCTATCTCTTTCTCTTTAAATGATCACAAAAATCAAGTTAGTTAAGTCTCACTGGGGATAAAACTTTAAACACATTTGTCCTCTAATACAAAAAACAAAAATTCTAATCTCTAAACTCACTCGTTGCTGCAATCAGTTTCTACCAAATCAATTTGTTCCATTCAATGTCTATTAAAAATCCTCTCCAGGGCTGGGGTTGTGGCTCAGTGGTAGAGTGCTTGCCTAGCATGTGTGAGGCACTGGGTTCAATTCTCAGCACCATGTATCAATAAATAAAATAAAGGTCCACTGACAACTAAAAAAATATTTTCAAAAATATCCTCCCCAATGCATACAGTATAAGATAAAGCTCAAGAATAATCTCTTATCACACAGTGATATCATATGCCACAGAGAAACCTATTGCTGGGGAAACCAAGAAGCACAAAAGTCCTTGTTCATTAGGACTATACCAACACTTACTTTAGATATTTGGATAAGTCATCACTTAATTCTTTAGGGATATAATCAGATATCAGACCATGGGCATAACGAATGTAATCCTCTGAAATAAATGAAAGAGAGTGAAATAAAACAATTAGGAATAATTGCAGTGATTTTAGAGTCAAATTGACCATAGTTCAAATTCTTGGACTATATAGATTTAGGAAACTCATTAGGCTCTAGCCTCGGATTCCTTGTTGGTAAATAGCGATACTAATACGATGTGTCAGAGCAGAGATGTGATGATGATATATGATATAGCATGATACCAAAGATGTGATAATATAACATAGTAGACATGTACTAAATTAAGGACAGGAAAAGCAAAAACTCAGGGTTGCTTTGTTGGTTGAAGCCTTTGAATACAAATAAAATTTAAAAATCAGATGTGATAATGTTAAATATTAATGTCTCTTTTTTCTAAGGCTAATCTCTTCTAAATCTGCTCCAAATAACAAATATAATCATTGAATAGTAGTGATAATATTCATTTAAGGTAAATAAAATAACATGATTTTTCTCTATTAGGTATTTGCTTCATAAGAACACTACATATACTTTGAACACTATATACTTCCAAAGAAAATGCCTTTTAAAACCTGAAACACAACTCACACAGCAGAATATAATATTAGTTCAGGGTATCTGAAGTCATAGTACTAAAATGCAGCTCTGCCATTGATTAAAAACAGCCAATAAAATCTGTTTCCAAATGCCACTCTTTAGTTTGGCACTGTGAGCAGATTATGTGGGGCAATCAAACTTAATCAGGAGATGGAATGACCACAGGGGGAGATGAACTGTCAAAAAGCAAAGGCTGGGTCTGCTGCAGAGATGTTTACTTGCTTTCTTGCTTTCCTTCTTTTCTGCCTTCAAAATAAGGCAACAATATACCCCAGTATTACTTAGTAAATGACTGCAGTCTGGTAGTTACCTGATCTTGAAAATCTTTAGTAGAAGACTTTCATGGCTGATGTAGAACACAAAGTTATCATTGGACCCTTCTTAAAATGTGCTCAGGGTTCTGGGCTAGTAATTTATCCAGTTAGTCATGAAGAGACAAAGAAAACTATTTTAAGAAAGTCAGTTTACAGGTCATTCATTCTCTCTGCTTTTGGTACCACACCCCAAGCTAAAGATCTAAAAGTATGTAAAGCTAACTTTATGGCTGGAACACTAACCAGCAATACAGCCATGCCAAGAAACTTAGATGTAGAGTCTTGGTGAAATCCCTGGACTCAGAGCACAAGACCTTATTTATCAGCTAGAATAAACCATCCATCTCTCTGAGACTATAGTTGTCAATTTTTAAAGTAAGAAGACCTGTCTATAAAACTCTCTAATATCCCTTCTTCTACAAAAAAAAAAAAAAAAAAGAAGAAGAAAGAAAAAGAAAAAAGAAAAATAAATAAACCACATATATATGGTTTCATTGGTCAACTCTCCATCCATCTCCCCTTGTGATTCACTACTTCCTCCTCTTCTGTTAAGGCCAATTAAAGACACTGACAGTTCATGAATTTGGTATGGCAAGCATGCTGTTCACCACCCCCAAAATGGCAGTGGCCAGCTATGTCAATAAGTAATGAGTTGTAAAACAGATTTCTGCATATCAAAGACCGTCTGAATAATCCATCACAAAAAGGTCCCTATTCCTCATATTAATTTTTTTTTTAATGGCTAAAGTCAGGTATTGAAAATTGTATAGCCAGAACAAGGGAACACAGAATCCTGAAGCTGAAGGTCAGAATAATTTCTGTCTCACCCTTTCAGAATGTTAATTGCACTATATAATTGTTTTTATTTTTAAACAATGCACACATACACACACTATACTGGAAAAAGCAAAATAATGTAGTACCTTAATAACCTAAGAAAATTGCTAAGTGAGTCAATTTTCATCTAAAATCAAAACATTTAAAGCTACCTTAGGAATTATGCTTTATGGCAGTAAGATGCAAAAAGAAGCAGCCCATTAGAAACCCTGAGCCAGAGGAAAGGTACAAGAAAAATGGTAAAAGCATGGGCTTGAGAGTGAGAGAAGCTCCACGAGTAGCACCGTTTTGCCATTTGCTTGCTGGTGGGTAACTGTGGACTGAACCTTGATTCTCATGGGACTTCCTGGGGTGATCAGGAGACAATGTTTGTATCCTGCAACCTAGCCAAGGGTCTGGCACCTAACATACCCTTAAGAAATGACAGCCAGGCTTCTCAGGGTTGCTATTACTGTTGGTGCAAAATACTTATTTGCTGAATGAATGATTCAAGTGCCACTCAGTGAGAGAACTGATCTGTTAGAAACAGCCTTTGATTCTGAAATAGGATGTACAATTGCCCTAATCTATGAAAAACACTGGCAAGAATGATGCTTCAGTGACATTAAAGATTTTTAAATTCTCAGATATGCATTTGCACATAAGCAACTTACTCCAGACAAAAAAAAAATTTTTTTTCAGACAAAAATTATTTCTGATGAAGTGGTTTACTTACCTTCCTTGTCACTCAAAACCTGGTTACCAGAGAAAAATGCAGATGACTGCACCCGAGCACTGACAGTGACATTACTGGTTTTTAATGCTGCCACAGTTTGTTTAACCTAGGAAGCAAGCAAACACAGGGCAGAAATTGGAGGAATCTTCAACAGAACTTTAGAAATGCATGACTTTCCAGATGGCCCTCAATCCACTTAAGATCTATGAATAAGTATTTGAGAACCTAGCAATATCTCCACCAAATATTACACACTTGGAGAGAGGCTGAGGGCAGATACATTTCTGGATGATCTCAGTACGTAGACTTCCTGAGCCTACGCAATATGAGAAGCAACATAAGGTGGTGACTGAAGCACTGACTCTGGAAACAGGCTGCTTTGATTTGCTCTGTGACCAATCACTCAACCTCTCTGTGCTTCTATCTGTGCAATAGGCAAAAAGAATATCCACCCCATTTGACTGCTGTGAGTGAGTTAATGCATGTAGAACCCTTAGAATAGAACCCGGTACAAAGTTTCTATATTAGCAATTTCTAAACAGAACAAAAAATATAAAATTTCCCAATAAGCATAAACTTCACTTTGTGGTCATATCATTATCACTTGCTAAAAGCAAAAATGAAATGCTAAGATTTTGCTCAGCATTTTCACCTATATACAATATGCTATGATATAGCACATGACAAGTGGAACATGATGGCACTTACTAAATTTTTGTTACTTTGTACAATAGGAGCCTGACTGATTCTACAGTGTTCATTTGCATGTTTCCAGACTCCAATGTGCTCAGTGATATAGTGTGACAAACGAGTATGGCTTTCACATGTAAGATCCAAGGGAACCTCAGGAAACAGAATTACAACTACTGGTACGCACTGATCTTGCAAAAACTAAGATTCTTAATCCATGTGAAAGTAATGATACTTTCCTTAGACCAGTGGCAGAGTTTTTTTTTTTTTTTTAACTACAACCCACAGTAAGAAATATCCAGCAATTTAAGATCAAACACATATACAAGTATACATTTCATAGAGTCATCCTTAACATTTACTCGTACTCTGGGCTATATATATATGAACCCATTCTGTCCTGTCCTAATTCATTCTGTCCTGCTCCATTCCAAGAGAAATACTGGTTGTGATGTTCTAAATCAATTTTAAAAATACTGCCCTGGACCTTATATTTGGTCAAAATCACTAAGACATACAGTTTGCCTAGAAGATGATCCTTCTTCAACATTTGGACACTTAGAGTGGACTAACTTTCTCTAAGTTTGAACAGCTTTCTCCTGCCATCTCTTGCCTGGTTATGTGAGCAACACCACCCTGGAGATACCTGTGCAGCTAACAGCAGTGAAGAGCCTCAGGCCTGGCACTGTCAGGCTTGGAAGATTCAAACCTGTACTAATCAACAGTAAGAAACTCTTTCATTTAGGACCAGGAAGAAATGAGGATTCAGGTCAAAAAAAATACCAAGTTTCTTTTCAGTCTTGGATATCTTTATACAGTTTTGCCATTTTCACTACACATATAGGATGGTCTTTGGATTCAATTTTATTGCCTATATAAAGTTGTTTTTTTTTTTTAATCACAAGACACTAGAGAGGTACTATACCTTTTTTTCCAGCCACTTCAATGTCTTCTCTTTGCTATACTTGTAATATTTCTTGTTGCCTATTTCTGGATTAATGGGGGGAAAAAAAACCCTTAGTACAGTGAGTTAAAAAACAAAACAAACAAACAAAAAAGCTCAAGGTAACATCATATACAATAATTTAAAATTTTTCATAATACATTGTTAAAAAGCCCAACCTATAAACCGGAGAACATACTTGAGACATTTTTTTAAAAACTCCCAGAGTTTAGGTACCTCAGAAGTGATGTCATCACAGAATGAATATGAACTTTTAAAAACCCTCAAGTTATACAAACAACACTGTAGAAAAGGTAATTTTTAAAACGCAGCAATCTAACATGCTAAATAATCTCAATTTTTCTGAATTAATTTTAAGTTCACCTCAATGTTTTCAAAGAAAGACTTTCCTTTCTAAAATAAAAAACCTGCGGGGGCGGGGGGGGTGAATAAAAACACTAAAATCAGGCAGATGCCTGTGAAGGTCCATGTTCAGGGGCAAAAGAAACAAAAACATCTTAACTACTCAGTGCTGCCCTGGTGGAATTGGTGCAGCAATGGATATATCCATCTTTTAATGTATTACTAATATAGTCATAGATATTTCAGGAGAATTTAGATTTATGGTAGGCTCAACTTGGCCCTTTATGGATATAAAAGTTCTGACTGTTAGAAATTATACTTCCCCTCACAATCCACCTAGCTTCATACGCTATGTCATTAAACCAGGATTTCCTCCATAACACGTTTAGTCCGTGGGATTTCTTCTTCCTGTGTGGTTAGCCAGGGCAGTACTTCCGCTCCAGCCTCCTTTATGACCATATAGGAGTCATTTTTATGGCTACTAAAAACCTTAAGGCCAGTGCAGACCCACCATCTGTGAGCTATACAGCATGACACATCCCCTTCCTCCCCTCCCTATCACGGGAAATGGAAACTGCTTATTCAGGGGTAGTTTTCTGCAATCCAAATGGTTTGAATGGAAGAAAGGCTGAAAGACCCCTGCCCTAGTCTCTGTGCATTTCCTCCCCATTTCTGCCTGTAGTGGTCAATATGAAGATGGAGTGGGAGCTGAACCTTTGCACCTGTCTCCTGAGTATGTGTCACTGAAGGAGGGACAGTTGCAAATGACATTCCATCAGAAGTAAGAGGATTTCTGCTCTCCTGGAGTCAGGACAGCCTAGAAAAACAGCCCACTGCAGAAGCAAGACTGGATTCAGTTTCCCTGGAGACAGTATCCCATCAGGACATCAGGGGAAATTTAACAGGACACAGCTCACCCAATAAGTGTACACTGTTGAATGGCCTTTAGAAGTTCCATTCACCACCTGCATCAAGACTCAGTAACAAAATTCAGTGCTCAAGTCTGTCCTAAGAAATCCCACCTGTCTCTGCTCTTTACCTACCTCCAAAATGCTAAAAGAACTACCACTTACATAGTTTTTGTTCTTGGCTCACATTCCCCGAATCACCTAGGCAGACCTCTCCTGTCCCTCTTGGAAATGGTCTCTCAGAAGAAATCAAGAATACAGACTAAGCCATACATACTTCCAGGGCTCATGCAAACCCCAGCATATGTTGTTACCTCGAGAAGCCACTTCATTCTCAAAACCTGCTTTCTCAAGGTGTAAAGTAAGGGTTATTTTGAATGTGCAATGGAATAGTCCCTACAAATCCTATGGCACCATGTCTGCCAAATAGGAAATAGTTGATATCAGCTAAGCAAAAATGATGACAGTTGATATTTGTCAATTATGTGTCAGAAAACTAACATTTATTCAGGCTCTTCACATACATTTTCTCATTGATGGGCAGAATGGATTTCAAATGAAAAGCTTTATTTGTACTCATTGCAGAAAACCAGGTTTGAGTGACCTAAAGTAAATTGTCCAAAGTCACTAGCAATTAAGAAGCGGCACTGCATTCCCATCCAAGCTGACCTTTCAGCTATGGATCTGATGCTCATTTTACCAAGGACAATGAGGTCTACATGCTCCCCTAGGAACTTCTGTCCTCCCTAATCTCTGTGGGAAAGACCTCTCCAGAAGGGTAGCCACAAAACTGCTTTCCTTTGGTTTTCTCTGATGATTTCTCTAAATCTTTTTCCAGCTCTCCTTTGCCCTTCTCCAAGGTCAACTGCACCGTTCTCCTGGAGAGGCTTTATATCTAGTTCAACAAGACTTTAAACAAGCTCAGCTAGCAAATAGCAAACATAAAGCCCTGAGCCAAGGCTCAACATGTCTGAAACTAAACTGGTCATCTTCCCAAACTAGCCTCCTGGCTGCCCAGTCTGCTTGCCTCCCACACTACAGCACCTGATCCCAAGGCGACGGGAAGTGTGGAGAATGAGGGAGTCAACCTTATCTTGACATGGGGGAGGAAAAAAAATTACTGAGTCAAAAATCAGGAGGCCTGGCTTCTAATGCTGGATTAGCAAGTACATTTTTTTAAAAAAATCAACTTTATTTATATAATGAACATACCCGCTTTAAGTGTACAACAGGACTCGTGTTGAGAAATAAATGCAGTCATGTACTCATCATGTCCATAAGTTCCCTTGAACCTTTATGTAATCAATTCTCCCAGCCCTCCCCAGACCACTGGGGAACCACTGAGCTATCTTTATAGATTGATTCTTGCTTTATTCTGAAACTTCTTAGAAATGGAATCATATAGTGTGTACTTTTTTGTGTTCATCTTCTTTTGCTCAACAAAATTTCTGTGAGATTCATCCGTTTTATTGTTATTTTAGTGTATTCTGGATTGTTTTAAAAAAGAAAAAAAAAGTTAACTGTACATAGCCACAGGCAAGTCCTTTAGAGGGATTCCAAAAGGACTGCTATCACAGGAGATTGGCAATCTGTGTTATGCCCCTGAAGAAATTCCACTGGGCCCAAATGTAGAGGTGGCAGAAAGTGATACCGATGATCATGACCCTAAGTAAGCCTACGCTAGTGTGCCTGCATCTTAATTTTTTAACATAATTAAAAAAGAAGAAAAGAACAAGAACAACAACTAAAGAAAGTTCACAGAACAAGGATGCAAAGAAAGATCCTTTTTTTTTTTTGAGGCTATATGATAGGTTTGTATTTTAAGATATTATAAGTAAAAAGTTAAAAAATTAAGAAGTTTATAAAGTAGTTACAGTAAGCTAAGACTAATATATTATTGAAAAAATAAAATGATTTAAAAATAAATTTAGCGTAGCCTAAGTGCACAATATCAGTAAAGTCTCAACAATGTACAGGGAGGTCCTAGGTTTTCACATTCAGTCACCATTCACTGATTCACTGACTCACCCAGACCACCCTCTAGGCCTGCAAGTTCCATGCAGAGTTAGTGCCTGGTAGAGGTCTAACAGTTTTAAAAAATTTATACTATATTTTTACTGTACTTGATTTATATTTCTATATACCAATACTTACATCCTGTTACTACTGCTTACAGCAGTCACTACAGTAACATGGTATACAGATTTGTAGCCTGGAATCAACAGGGTATACCAGTAGCCCAGTGTACAGCAGGCTACACCACCTGTTTATGTAATTTGCGCTCTACGATGTTCATGCAAAAATGAAATAGGCTAATGGCACATTTCTCAGAACATACCCCCCAGTGAAGTGATTAATGACTATACATAGAATAAAACTGATGTTTGTATGTTGAACTTGTATTCTGAAACCTTGCTTAATAAGTTCTAGGAACTTTTGTTTTTGGTAGATTCCCATGGACTTACCTACATGATGATATTGTCCATGAACAAGGACAGTTTTACTACTCACTGTCCCATCTCTGTGCCTTTCCCTTTTTCCAGTTCCAGGGGAAAGGCAGTTTCAGTTTTTCACAGTGATGATGTCAGAAGTCTGCCATAGATGCCCTTGACCACGTGAAGGAAGTACCTTCTATTCCTAATTTGCTGGGAATTTACTTCCTGCCTGAATTTTGTCAAACACCTTTTCTGCATCCATTGAGATGACCATGCACTTTTCTTTAGTAATATGTAAATTTGTGAATTATCTAATTGATTTTTCTAATGCCCAACCAACTTTGCATTTTTGTAATAAGACTCACTTGGGTCTTACATATTGGATTTTCTAGTATTTTGGTTAAGGATTTTTCAGTCTGTGAAGGCAAAGAATATTGGTCCAATTTTCTTTTTTGTAACAATTTTTATTCTGTATCACAATTTGCATTTCATAAAATTCCTTCCTCACCTGAAAGGTATTCAACAAGTACTGTATCTTTGAATATTATTTCTTTCTTAAAGTAGAGTAGAATTCATTAATGAAGCTAGACCTGGATTTTTCTTTCCAAGAAGTTTTTAAATTATAAATCTATTTCTAAATAAAATATTCCCTAAGATGATCACTATGTCCCAGAATACTACACAGATCCAGTGTATAAACTACATCTTAATTTTGAAATTTATAAATTTCTAAAAACAAGGAGATCTCAGATATTCATGAAGACCAAGGCAGCCTATAATTATGAAAAATATCATAGCATGTTCATCTGTGTCCTAAACTTAATATTTGTGAGAGTTAGAAAGCTGGACAGTATGTGCACACACTGGATGGGTTTTTTCCCTTATGTGTCTGGTGCTTATAAAACAAGCCTCAAACATCTGGAAATACTGGGTTTACAAAATAAAGATGGAATAAAAATGACTCTACAATTAAATAACATGTGCAGCAATTGGGTAATCAGTTCACAAACCTGAATTTCCCTGATGTATTGTTGAACAAACTGCCTAGAGCAGATTTTCACTTCTGCTTTCTCAATGTTTTCCATAACTGAGAAACTCAGCCCGCCTCTTCTCCCCTGTCTTCTGGGGATAGAAACTTGGCAACTGCACTTGGGGAATTTTAATCAGGTAAGTTTTCCTGGCTCTTCCCATTAATTGCATCAGACAGTGCAATGCAGCTCTGGCTTGCAACATGAAGCAGAGTGTTACGTTCAAGGCAAAGTCCATGACCCCGTATTAGTCCTCTCCCGTGTCATCTCTCCACTGAATGTGAGCTTCTTTGGCAAGAAACGTGCTCTGGGCCCTAGAGCGAGCAAGTAGAGCCTTTCCATTACTAATGAAGCAGGCAAGGCTGAGGTCACAGCCTTCATCGTTTAGAGCACCAGCAGCAGTGGCTGGGCTTATTTATCCGGGGGAACACAAACAAACCTAATAGATCCAATCTTTAAGCAGCCAGTCCTCAATACAATCACTATGATGACCTGGAGGACAGTGTGTGAAAATAAGGTGAGGACTGTCTGCTCCTTAAGCGATTCCAGTTCTGTCTCCTTTCTTATCTTTTTGCCATACAAAGCAAAATCATTAAGAGGGGATACAAAGATTTTAAAAGAAAAATGTGTTTTCTATTTTTACAAGAGACACTCTCTAAAGACTAATAGAGTATCCTGGAAGTACTTCACAGCTCTAAGAAAGAACAGCAAGTGTCACTGTCAGTTCTTTAATTTATTAATACATACATAAGCTTTTCTTTAATCCTGCTTCTGCTACTTCATGTTCTGTGATGTCAGGCAAGTTACTTAACTCTCTAACACTCAGTTTCCTCATTTTAAAAAATGCAGATTGTAATAACAATGAAAGGGCCTTACTGCGATGATTAAGTAACATATGGAAAACCATAAGCACCCACCTCCTGCTGTAGTGCAGATCCTCTACCCTTCTCTCTGTGGACAGCCTATAACAACCAGTGGTAAACCTCAGAATGCTGGGCTTTCCCCTGCTGATCTTCATGGAAAAAGACATTCATCTGAGTACATTGACCTGTACACAGACCTCACATAAAGAAAAATATTTCATATATTTATATTTTGGATGAAGGGATGAAGCAAATGTTGTAGGGTTGCTTATACTCAAGTATTCTGATGGATGAGGCATGAAGAATCTCACTTCTTTTTAATTTTTCCTCCCTATTCTTAAATTTTTTTTTGGTTTTGCTTTTAAACTTTCCATTATTTCAAATTTATAAAATGCAATTCATTAAAGGTAGAATTGGATTATAAGTAAACTGCCAAACCTCTAAGGCACTGCACGTATCTTTTACTGTAGGACATTTAATCTGAAAATATTTTGCTTTCCGTTACCATCACTTAATAACAAAGAAAGAAAAACTTGAGGACTGGGACTTTAGAAATCTGACTTACTTACTTATATAAAGGCTAATAATATGGCCACTTTGGAAAATGGAAGTGCTAATCTTTTAAAAGTCAGGCAAAGTTGAGAAGAGACAGAGATTGGGACATAAGTCCACACAGCGACGCAGCAAATGCCCAGGCTGGGAGAACGTGAACAAACGCAGAGGCATGGATACTGTTTCAGAATTTTGTTTCTGGGTATTGCTTTAAGTTGACTGCTTTTACACAGCCCATGGCAGAATCCTGGATAATAACGTCACTGCATCTTCAACTCATGTTAAAGTAACAAAAATTAAAATGACTTGTAATTCTATTTTCTTTATTACTTTATGGTCTACAAAAATGGTTATGGTCTACTTCATTTGTCACCCACAAAAAGATGCTGTCCCCTGCCAAGCTCAGCATCAGGAACGCCTTTGATGGGGCTGCTTTGATAAGATTCCAAGCAGCCCTCAGATCCAAACTGGATCCCCAAGCATGGCCAAGTAAGAATCAGTAGCCTCTCAAACATGAAATGCAATCAATGAGGCTTTCCCCTTCCCACTGTAAGCTTACACTTTTTGGAATCACCACTTTCTTGATCCCAGAAGAACTGCCATTGTTAACAAACCATCTATGACCCCAGGTGGCCACAGCCTCTTGGCCTGTTGTTCTGGTTCTCAAGTTATGTTTCCAGATTAACCCTGAAACTACGTGGATGATTATTTGAAACCCTGATGCTAAGTGTGTATAGTGTTTTTTAACCCATTGAAACACAAAATTTGTTTAACCTGACACACAATGCCTCACCTCCTCTTCTCAAAACTCAAGAGTAATATCTAGAATTCACCTCTTTGTTCCCCCGCCTGCTCCTCCAGCCCCTGTTCCCTGCCTCCAGGATGCCAGCACTGTACATCCTCTGGGTCAAGACATAAACCTAGAAGCCATTCTTACTCTTTCTTTTCCCTGACCACCATTCAGTCACCTGATGTGGCTGGTTTCCCCCTAAATTGCAGTTCCTCCTAAGCTCAGGCTCTCATGATATTCTGTCTAGATCACTGCAACAGCCCCTGTGGACCTAGCCTTGGCTTCTTGAATACATTCTCCACACGGTAGCACTATCTTGGTGAAAAGTTCAGAGATGGGCCACCACCAGATGCATACAACGTTCCCTCCCATCTGAACCCGTGCCCAGCATTCCTGCCCCATTCCTTACAGCTCCAAACCCTCCCAGATGCGATGAATTTCATGGAACCACCTAAACAGGACAACCTTTTCCATATATCCATGCCTTTGCTTTACTGCTGCTCTGACTCATTCCTCGGGACTCCACTTAGGTCACCTCCCCCTGGAAAGCAACACGGTATTCACCCACCTGCACCCCACCCAACCCAGACCAGGCCTGTGCATCTCCAGGAAATACTTCTATCACCTGTCTTGTCACTGCCCTGCTTGCTGCTTGCCCCATCAGATTCAAAGAAAAGTGAGGGAAGGGACAGTGTCTTATTTGTCCCCAAAGCCCAGCACTAATATTCAACGTTTGCTTCTCATTGGGTACTCAAATTAGTACCCTTGGATCACTAACAGTCGTTTTATATAATTTAACAAATGAAAACTCTGAAGCAGAAAGCAGTTGACTTGCCTTTAGTCACAAAGCTACTTCAAAGAACTGAGACTAAAGCCATGTTTGTGATTCCTGACTGTGGAAGAGGCCAGAAGATTTCAGTGGGCATAATTCCAGAGAATGAACAATCCGATGGGAGCCAGGAGGGGTACTGTCGACTGGAAGCCCATCTGAGTAACACTTTGTCTTCCACTGACACAGAATGGGCATTACAGCTAGGGAGGCTTTAAGCAGCTACATGTTCTGAGAAAGGCCCAGTCTTTCTGCCTGACTTCCAAGGCCCACATACCATACCTTTTTCCTCTGTCACGTGGTGAAGTACTTTCTCAAGTTCAGGAAGTTTCAGCAACAAGACACAATTCGGAAATGCATCATCCACCACCACCTGATCTAGAGGCTGAAACTTTCCCTGGAAAAAATACTTTGGTCAGTTAGAATGCAAGCATCCCAGCCAAAACACACACGAAAAGAGAAAAAGACGTATCTCATGGTCTGTCCCTTCAACTTAGTTCAGAGCCTCTGTTCCATCTAAGAAACCCCTAAATGGGGACAGGTTCTAGGACTGATGCAGGGCTCCCTTTAAGAAGCTCTTTTGAGCACTTGGTTTCCAAGCAGCAAGCACCCTACCCCAGGGGTACAGTCACCATACGAAACAAGGAACAGAATTCTAGGAAAGTGCGTGAAGCCACAGAAACTTGCAAAGATAATAGTGATTGCCCAGGGCTGGTCCAACCACTCAACTTGAAGAAGAGCCCCAGGGCAGGAGTCCCGACCATCACACAGGCCTGGAACAAGCCCAGATGGGCCCAGAACATTCCTCGGCCTCTCCATCCTCATTCCACAGCTGAAGAAAGAAAACCCAGCCACTTAAAGAAAAAAATCAAAAGTAAATCCACTCCTGTTAGTGCTGTCAGATAATGCTTCCAAATTAAGAGAAGAATGAGAGAGAGAGAGAGAGAGAGAGAGAGAGAGAGAGAGAGAGAGAGAGAGAGAATGCTAGAGGGATATATAAATGAAGGTGCACTCAGGCTAAGCCAGGCTCAGCTAGTTAAGTCCATAAAGCCTGGGTACCAAAAGAAGAAAACTGTAGACCCTAAGAATCCAGAAAACACACACACACACACACACACACACACACAAAGAATCCAGACCACTATTCTTCTCAGTTAAGTTTAATTCTTCTTAGCTTTACTAATTACAAAACTAACCATTTACTCATGGATATTACTTATACTTGAAAACCCACTATAAGTCAGTTTGGACTCAGGTATTGAGCAGAAGAACATGAGCGATGCAGTTCATCATTTCAAGGGAAAGAAAGTACCTGTAGCCTATAATAAAACTTGAACTTTCAGGCAAAAATCAGAACTGTGGAAAACTTGTATCTCCCATATCACAGCTTCTCAATACTTCAAGGATTTTTTTTAAAGTAACTGATATGATATGAATATGGAATCTGCTTGCCATTGGGGCTCATGGGAGCTGTTTGGGGGTGGAGCCCTCATGAACAGATTAATCCTTTCTCACATGAGTGAGTTCAAAGGACTAGATTAGTTATTACAAGAGCAAAAGTTTATCCCTCATGTTCTTTCTTCTGCAAATATGTTTGCCTTTCTATTTTCACCATGAGTTGAAGGAACATAAGACCTTGACCTGTGCCATGTTCTTTGAATTCCCAGCCTTGAGAACCCTAAACCAAAGTAAACCTCTTTTGCTTATAAAATTATCCACTTTCAGGTGTTACAGCAACCAAATTGAAGTAAGACATTTACAAAGGGTGGGTATGTATAAACTGGGATGGATTAACATTTGGAAGATTTATATAACTCAATGAATCAATATTTTTCAAATAAACCAAAACATGATGTTATAAAAAAAAGATCCATGCTAAGTGAAAAACAAACCAGTGGATTTTAATGTAAGACAGCATGGAAGGATCATTGACAAGGGTTCAGATTCCACTTTATGACAAACCTTTAAGAAACTACTCCTGGGGCTGGGGATGTGGCTCAAGGGGTAGCGCGCTCGCCTGGCATGCGTGGGGCGCTGGGTTCGATCCTCAGCACCACATAAAAATAAAATAAAGATGTTGTGTCCACTGAAAACCAAAAAATAAACATTAAAAAAATTCTCTCTCTTTTAAAAAAAAAAAAAAGAAAGAAAAGAAACTACTCCTTATTGATTTTTGAAGTAATATCAGAGAAAAATATCCACAATTATCTTAAAAGGCTACTATGCCCTTTCCTTCCTGTTCTGATTATATCTCTGTGTGAGGCCACATATTCTTCACACTTCCACCAAAACAATAAACAGGCTGAATGTGTAAACAGATATGAGAATTCAGTGATCTTCTTTTAACCAGCCATTAAAAACACTGCCACATGCTTTATTAAATTTTGTTGTTTGTTTCATTAAAAATGTGTTATTTATGTCAGTTTTAATTCCTAATATAGTAAATATTGATAATTAGAGCTCATAAAAACATAAGCTTTTGGGAACCCTTAATAAGTGTGAACATATTATGAGACCAAAATGTTTCAGAACTTTAGGTTGAAACTAATATTTCCTCCGTCTTTCTATTACAAGGGTAAATTTTATCTATCTGGAATTTCTTAAGTCTCAACTATATCTTCCTCAATAAGCTTTTATTAGATATGTTCCTATTTCTTCTCCTAAAGATGGTAGTCAATTTTTATGTGTATCTGGGCACTTAATGATAAATGTTTTCAGTGTCAGGCTTTGTCAACCAGTAAAGCACATAGCACTGTGAGCTAACAATGCAAAAGTGATGGGCAAGCTAATATCAAACTGGATCAGGATTGCAGTGCTGCTTCTAGGCCTGTGTGGGGGTGCTCTGACCTGTCCTAGCACACAGGATATACATCCTCCACAATTACCAAATTAAATTGGAAGTGCAGGGAATCTACATTTGAAAAGGAGAGCAGGAAGACGGAGATCATTGTAGATGACCCCCACTGAGAAACTCACCTGTTTGTTGGCCAGTATGAGGTAGTGGAGGAGCAAAAACAGGGGGTCCATGGGTGTGGCGAAGTGCAGGAGACCTCCTAGAGGTTAAAAGAACAGTAGGGCTCAGGAAGGCAAGCTGGTGAATTCCTGCTGACCTCAAGGTGAGAATCATTTACTGACAAATACATGTGAAATCCCCAATCCAAAAGGTCTTCTTATACAGGTCAAAGAAATTTACTGATCTAGTAACACGGATCTTACCAAGCCTTAGTGCACAAGTGGCAAGAAATGCCCAAATTGGAAGGCTGTCATTTTTTTCAAATCACAGATTTCACAAATTTCTTATCATCTTTACATCTCTACCTTAAATCTTGCTTCTTTCATGTTCAAACAGTCTCAAAAGGCAGAATATGCTCCACCAGATTTTACTTCAAAAAGTTGCAAATCCCTGTGTGAAGAACGGAGCTAAGACACTGAAATCTGATTTTAACTTTCCATTTCTTTTTCAGAATTCATATTTTATAAAGCCTTCCATCCCCAAAGAAAGTAGAGGTGGGGGTAGCACAGAGGGAACCTAAACCAGGCAAACGTGGGGAAACTCATATAAGTCTATCTATAAAGCTGCAGTAAAAAGTAATTTCCTGTGCTTTTGAAAAGGAAGCCCTGGGAAAGCACTGTTATTCTCTTGGGACAGCTTCTTCTGGGCCTGGGGGCTCAAAGCTCATCAGGCACTTCACTAACCCAGATCCAATAACCCTGCCCCCAAAGCAAAAGAAAAAAGGGTAGCAATCAGCTTGAACAAACCCTAAATCCCACTCTCTGGCTGAAGGAAACAGCAATCACCAAAAAGGCTCCTGCTTCTCTTTCCTCTGTTGAACTCCCCTCCAAGGATCCCAGACAACCCCCTCCGCCCTTCCACAGAACTGCTTTGGAGGAGGTATTTTCATCAAAATAAACAAATTCAAAACAATAAACGATTCACTTACCCCTGCCCAAGTGTTTTATTTTGGTTTCAGGAAACATATGTACTTACATTTATTTTCTAATTGAGCAACCTACCTATAAAGACAAGAAATCCTAATCCTAAACCATGAATATATATTTATAGTTTAGATCAAAAATATATATAAATATACATATTTATAATTTAAGGTAAGGATTTATATATATGTATATATACATACACATATATCTACACACATGCACACACACACACACACACACACACACACACACACACACATATATATATGAGAATCCATTTCATAGTAAGGAAAAAAATTCATAGTAAATTTTCCCCATGTCCTTTCATGATACGGAACAAAAAAATTCAAAGAAGCAGTTTTATATTATGACACTATTTAATTATTTTGAAAAGTGAAAGCTCATGAAAATAATAAGTTTTAAGCTAACCTTATATGAGGTATCCATTATATGAGGAAATTAGAAACAGGCTTCCAGATCAAAGAGTAACATCTTGGTGGCTATTCTTAAAAACAGTTCTTTTCTTTAGAATTAAGTTTAAAAAGAAGACAATGGTAAAAAAAAAAAAAATGCATGTACCTTTGATATGAAGATAAATTTTTTGTAAAGAAAAAAAAAGTCTATTAAAAATAAAAGAAAGAAAAAAGTGAGTACCAACTCAGACAGTCCAAGATAGATGAGCAATCACTGCTGCCCAATATTTTCCTGTGTTTTGTGTCTCTCACCTACATTTGACAGCAAGTGTGTTACATTAGAAACCCTAACTCTCACATACTGCCAGATGAACATACACAACAACAACAATGAAAAGGTTGTACTTTCCACCCTCTAGGCTACACATAACTACCATTGCATTTTCTCAATTAAAAACTGCTTCAATTTCCTCATGGAAATAGGTATGCAAAACTAACCAAAGCAACAAATCCTTTTTTGGGAATGTCTTAGAAGGTGGACAAAAATGGCCTGTGTATCTTAGCACTCAGTGGCAACACAGAGCCAACAGAAAGCACTCTTAAAAAGCAGTCAGAGTACCCAAACAGGCATGAAGAGCAATGGAACAGACCAGAAGACAGAGACAAACCCACATAAATACAGTTATCTCATACTAGACAAAGGTGCCAAAAACATACATTGGTGAAAAGATAACCTATTAACAAATGGTGTTGGAAAAACTGGAAATTCATATGTAGCACAATGAAATTTAACCCCATCTCTTACCCTGCACAAAAATTCGATTCAAATTGGATCAAACACCGAGGAATTAGACCAGGTATCTTGGACCTGCTAGAAGAAAATGCAGGCCTAACACTCTAACACGTCAGCTCAGAAACTGACTTCCTTAACAAGACTCCTAAAGTACAAGAAGTAAATCAGTAAATGGTATGGCATCAAATTAAAAAGCTTTTTCACAGCAATCAAGAGTGTGCAGAGAAAGCTACAGAATGGGAGAAAATCTTTGCTACCTGCTCTTCAGAGCATTAATATCCAGGATATACAAAGAACTAAAAAAAAAACTAACACACACACAAAAAAAAAAACCCCAACACAATCAATAAATAGGCAAAGGAACTAAACAGACACTGCTCAAAAGGAGATATACTAATGGTCAACAAATATATGAAAAAATGTTCAATATCTCTAGAAATTAGAACAATGCAAATTAAAACTACACTGAGATTCCATCTCACTCCAATCAGAATGGCCATTATCAAGAATAGAAGTAACAATAAATGTTAGTGAGCATGTGGGGGAAAAGGTACACTCACACACTGTTGGTGGGACTGCAAATTGGTGCAAATTACTCTGAAAAGCAGTATGGAGATTCCTCAAAAAACTAGGAATGGAACCACTATTAGATGCACTATCCCACTCCTTGGTTTAAATCTAAAAAATTTAAAATGAACATACAACAGTGACACAGCCACTTCAATCTTTACAGAAGCACAATTCATAACAGCCAAACTAGGGAACCAACCTAAGTGCCCTTTAACAGATGAATGGATAAAGAAAATGGTATATATATACAATGGAGTATTAGTCAGCCATAAAAAAAAATGACTTTATGGCATTTGCCAGTAAATGGATGGAACTGGAGACTATCAGGCTAAGTGAAATAAGCCAGTCCCTAAAGGTCAAATGCTTTCTCTGCTATGTGGAAGCTAATCCAAAATAAGTTGAGAGCGATTAAAAAAAAAAAAAAAAGAATAGAATAAAGATCAGTGGAGTCAACAAATGAGAATGAAAGGAAGGGAGAAAGGATGGGATAGGGAAAGACAGTGGAATGACTCTGACCTAACTTTCCTGTGTACATATATGAATACACCACAGTGAATCTCACCATGTGAATTTCGAAGACATTAGTTTAAAAAAAGAAAAAAAAAAAAAGACTATAAGTAAAAGGCAGAAAGATCAATGGAGTAGAAGGAGGTGAACAAGAGGGGGGAGGAAGGGAGCAGAAAGCCTGGGGACTGAATTAGAACAAACTGTATTTCATGCTTCTATAATTATGTCAAAATAAATTCTATTTTCATGTATAACTAAAAATAAGTAATTAGGGGTTAAAAAAAAAAAAAAAAGAAATAAAAGTGGTAGTCAAGTAGAAGAAGTCATGATTTGAAAAGAGGAAAAAAAGATGGTAAGTAGTCATTAAGAGTGGGGAAGTTAATAGACTAGCAAAGTATAATGTGGTTGCCCAGTTGCAATAAGGTTTCATTTAGGGCTGGGGATGTGGCTCCAGCAGTAACGC